CATGCGGGAGATGAACCACTGTTCTCAAGTTTCGTAGACTCTTTCAGGGCGGGGATAGGATCACAGCTCCGTAGTTCCGTAGAATTCATGCGGGAGATGAACCACTGTTCTCAAGTTTCGTAGACTCTTTCAGGGCGGGGATAGGATCACAGCTCCGTAGTTCCGTAGACTTCATGCGGGAGATGAACCACTGTTCTCAAGTTTCGTAGACTCTTTCAGGGCGGGATAGGATCACAGCTCCGTAGTTCCGTAGACTTCATGCGGAGATGAACCACTGTTCTCAAGTTTCGTAGACTCTTTCAGGGCGGGGATAATATCACAGCTCCGTAGTTCCGTAGACTTCATGCGGGAGATGAACCACTGTTCTCAAGTTTCGTAGACTCTTTCAGGGCGGGGATAGGATCACAGCTCCGTAGTTCCGTAGAATTCATGCGGGAGATGAACCACTGTTCTCAAGTTTCGTAGACTCTTTCAGGGCGGGGATAATATCACAGCTCCGTAGTTCCGTAGACTTCATGCGGGAGATGAACCACTGTTCTCAAGTTTCGTAGACTCTTTCAGGGCGGGGATACTGCCCGTATCACTTCATGCTGAACCACTGTTCTCAAGTTTCGTAGTTCCGGGGATAGGATCACAGCTCCGTAGTTCCGTTCATGCGGGAGATGAACCACTGTTCTCAAGTTTCGTAGACTCTTTCAGGGCGGGATATAGGAGTTCCGTAGACTTTTCAGGTTTATAGACTTCATGCGGGAGATGAACCACTGTTCACTTTTTTCAGGCGGGATAATATTAGACTTCAGATGAACCACTGTTCTCAAGTTTCGTAGACTCTTTCAGGGGGGGATAGGATCACCGTAGTTCCGTAGACTTCATGCGGGAGATGAACCACTGTTCTCAAGTTTCGTAGACTCTTTCAGGGCGGGGGATAGGATCACAGCTCCGTAGTTCCGTAGACTTCATGCGGGAGATGAACCACTGTTCTCAAGTTTCGTAGACTCTTTCAGGGCGGGGATAGGATCACAGCTCCGTAGTTCCGTAGACTTCATGCGGAGATGAACCACTGTTCTCAAGTTTCGTAGACTTCCGGGCGGGGAGACTCTTTTCCGGAATTCATGGGAGAGATGAACCACTGTTCTCAAGTTTTCATAGACTCTTTCAGGGCGGGGATAATATCACAGCCCGTAGTTCCGTAGACTTCTGCGGGAGATGAACCACTGTTCTCAAGTTTCGTAGACTCTTTCAGGGCGGGGATAGGATCACAGCTCCGTAGTTCCGTAGACTTCATGCGGGAGATGAACCACTGTTCTCAAGTTTCGTAGACTCTTTCAGGGCGGGGATAGGATCACAGCTCCGTAGTTCCGTAGACTTCATGCGGGAGATGAACCACTGTTCTCAAGTTTCGTAGACTCTCTTTCAGGGCGGGGATAGGATCACAGCTCCGTAGTTCCGTAGACTTCATGCGGGAGATGAACCACTGTTCTCAAGTTTCGTAGACTCTTTCAGGGCGGGGATAGGATCACAGCTCCGTAGTTCCGTAGACTTCATGCGGGAGATGAACCACTGTTCTCAAGTTTCGTAGACTCTTTCAGGGCGGGGATAGGATCACAGCTCCGTAGTTCCGTAGACTTCATGCGGGAGATGAACCACTGTTCTCAAGTTTCGTAGACTCTTTCAGGGCGGGGATAGGATCACAGCAGCTCCGTAGTTCCGTTTCGTAGACTTCATGCGGGAGATGAGACCACTGTTCTCAAGTTTCGTAGACTCTTTCAGGGCGGGGATAGGATCACAGCTCCGTAGTTCCGTAGACTTCATGCGGGAGATGAACCACTGTTCTCAAGTTTCGTAGACTCTTTCAGGGCGGGATAGATGAACCACTGTTCTCAAGTTTCAGCTTTTCCGTAGTTCCGTAGACTTCATGCGGGAGATGAACCACTGTTCTCAAGTTTCGTAGACTCTTTCAGGGCGGGGATAGGATCACAGCTCCGTAGTTCCGTAGACTTCATGCGGGAGATGAACCACTGTTCTCAAGTTTCGTAGACTCTTTCAGGGCGGGGATATCACAGCTCGATGCGGGAGATGAACCACTGTTCTCAAGTTTCGTAGACTCTTTCAGGGCGGGGATAATATCACAGCTCCTCAAGTTTCGTAGTTTTCAGGGCGGGGATAGGATCACTGCTCCGTAGTTCCGTAGACTTCATGCGGGAGATGAACCACTGTTCTCAAGTTTCGTAGACTCTTTCAGGGCGGGGATAGGATCACAGCTCCGTAGTTCCGTAGACTTCATGCGGGAGATGAACCACTGTTCTCAAGTTTCGTAGACTCTTTCAGGGCGGGGATAGCTCCGTATCCGTAGACTTCATGCGGAGATGAACCACTGTTCTCAAGTTTCGTAGTTTTCAGGGCGTAGAGTTCCGTAGACATGCGGGAGATGAACCACTGTTCTCAAGTTTCGTAGACTCTTTCAGGGCGGGGATAGGATCACAGCTCCGTAGTTCCGTAGACTTCATGCGGGAGATGAACCACTGTTCTCAAGTTTCGTAGACTCTTTCAGGGCGGGGATAGGATCACAGCTCCGTAGTTCCGTAGACTTCATGCGGGAGATGAACCACTGTTCTCAAGTTTCGTAGACTCTTTCAGGGCGGGGATAGGATCACAGCTCCGTAGTTCCGTAGACTTCATGCGGGAGATGAACCACTGTTCTCAAGTTTCGTAGACTCTTTCAGGGCGGGGATATAGGATCACCGTAGCTCCGTAGTTCCGTAGACTTCATGCGGGGAGATGAACCACTGTTCTCTCAAGTTTCGTAGACTCTTTCAGGGCGGGGATAGGATCACAGCTCCGTAGTTCCGTAGACTTCATGCGGGAGATGAACCACTGTTCTCAAGTTTCGTAGACTCTTTCAGGGCGGGGATAGGATCACAGCTCCGTAGTTCCGTAGACTTCATGCGGGAGATGAACCACTGTTCTCAAGTTTCGTAGACTCTTTCAGGGCGGGGATAGGATCACTGCTCCGTAGTTCCGTAGACTTCATGCGGGAGATGAACCACTGTTCTCAAGTTTCGTAGACTCTTTCAGGGCGGGATAGGATCACTGCTCCGTAGTTCCGGAGATGAACCACTGTTCTGCGTAGACTCTTTCAGGATGAACCACTGTTCTCAAGATTTCGTTTCGTAGACTCTTTCAGGGCGGGGATAGGATCACAGCTCCGTAGTTCCGTAGACTTCATGCGGGAGATGAACCACTGTTCTCAAGTTTCGTAGACTCTTTCAGGGCGGGGGATAGGATCACAGCTCCGTAGTTCCGTAGACTTCATGCGGGAGATGAACCACTGTTCTCAAGTTTCGTAGACTCTTTCAGGGCGGGGATAGGATCACAGCTCCGTAGTTCCGTAGACTTCATGCGGGAGATGAACCACTGTTCTCAAGTTTCGTAGACTCTTTCAGGGCGGGGATAGGATCACAGCTCCGTAGTTCCGTAGACTTCATGCGGGAGATGAACCACTGTTCTCAAGTTTCGTAGACTCTTTCAGGGCGGGGATAGGATCACAGCTCCGTAGTTCCGTAGACTTCATGCGGGAGATGAACCACTGTTCTCAAGTTTCGTAGACTCTTTCAGGGCGGGGATAGGATCACAACTCCGTAGTTACGTAGAATTCATGCAGGAGATGAACCACTGTTCTCAAGTTTCGTAGACTCTTTCAGGGCGGGGATATGATCACTGCTCCGTAGTTCCGTAGACTTCATGCGGGAGATGAACCACTGTTCTCAAGTTTCGTAGACTCTTTCAGGGCGGGGATAGGATCACAGCTCCGTAGTTCCGTAGACTTCATGCGGGAGATGAACCACTGTTCTCAAGTTTCGTAGACTCTTTCAGGGCGGGGATAGGATCACAGCTCCGTAGTTCCGTAGACTTCATGCGGGAGATGAACCACTGTTCTCAAGTTTCGTAGACTCTTTCAGGGCGGGGATAGGATCACTGCTCCGTAGTTCCGTAGACTTCATGCGGGAGATGAACCACTGTTCTTTCAAGTTTCGTAGACTTCATGCTTTCAGGGACTCTTTCAGGGCGGGGATAGGATCACAGCTCCGTAGTTCCGTAGACTTCATGCGGGAGATGAACCACTGTTCTCAAGTTTCGTAGACTCTTTCAGGGCGGGGATAGGATCAGGTAGTTCACTTCATGCGGGAGATGAACCACTGTTCTCAGTTCTGTAGACTTTTCATGGCGGGGAGATGAACCACCGTGTTCTGAACCACTGTTCTCAAGTTTCGTAGACTCTTTCAGGGCGGGGATAGGATCACTGCTCCGTAGTTCCGTAGACTTCATGCGGGAGATGAACCACTGTTCTCAAGTTTCGTAGACTCTTTCAGGGCGGGGATAGGATCACAGCTCCGTAGTTCCGTAGACTTCATGCGGGAGATGAACCACTGTTCTCAAGTTTCGTAGACTCTTTCAGGGCGGGATAGGATCACTGCTCCGTAGTTCCGTAGACTTCATGCGGGAGATGAACCACTGTTCTCAAGTTTCGTAGACTCTTTCAGGGCGGGGATAGGATCACTGCTCCGTAGTTCCGTAGACTTCACCACTGTTCTCTCAAGTTTCGTAGACTCTTTCAGGGCGGGGATAGGATCACTGCTCCGTAGTTCCGTAGACTTCATGCGGAGATGAACCACTGTTCTCAAGTTTCGTAGACTCTTTCAGGGCGGGGATAGGATCACAGCTCCGTAGTTCCGTAGACTTCATGCGGGAGATGAACCACTGTTCTCAAGTTTCGTAGACTCTTTCAGGGCGGGGATAGGATCACAGCTCCGTAGTTCCGTAGACTTCATGCGGGAGATGAACCACTGTTCTCAAGTTTCGTAGACTCTTTCAGGGGCGGGGATAGGATCACAGCTCCGTAGTTCCGTAGACTTCATGCGGGAGATGAACCACTGTTCTCAAGTTTCGTAGACTCTTTCAGGGCGGGGATAGGATCACAGCTCCGTAGTTCTGTAGACTTCATGCGGGGAGATGAACCACTGTTCTCAAGTTTCGTAGACTCTTTCAGGGCGGGGATAGGATCAGGATCACTTCATGCGGGAGATGAACCACTGTTCTCAAGTTTCGTAGACTTTTCAGGGCGGGGGATAGGGATCACAGCTCCGTAGTTCTGTAGACTTCATGCGGGAGATGAACCACTGTTCTCAAGTTTCGTAGACTCTTTCAGGGCGGGGATAGGATCACAGCTCCGTAGTTCCGTAGACTTCATGCAGGAGATGAACCACTGTTCTCAAGTTTCGGGCGGGGATAGGATCACAGCCCGTAGTAGACTCTTTCACTGTTCTCAAGGGACTCTTTCAGGGGATAGGATCACAGCTCCGTAGTTCCGTAGACTTCATGCGGGAGATGAACCACTGTTCTCAAGTTTCGTAGACTCTTTCAGGGCGGGGAAAGGATCACAGCTCCGTAGTTCCGTAGACTTCATGCTTGAGATGAACCACTGTTCTCAAGTTTCGTAGACTCTTTCAGGGCGGGGATAGGATCACAGCTCCGTAGTTCCGTAGACTTCATGCGGGAGATGAACCACTGTTCTCGAGTTTCGTAGACTCTTTCAGGGCGGGGATAGGATCACAGTTCCGTAGTTCCGTAGACTTCATGCGGGAGATGAACCACTGTTCTCAAGTTTCGTAGACTCTTTCAGGGCGGGGATAGGATCACAGCTCCGTAGTTCCGTAGACTTCATGCGAGAGATGAACCACTGTTCTCAAGTTTCGTAGACTCTTTCAGGGCGGGGATAGGATCACAGCTCCGTAGTTCCGTAGACTTCATGCGTGAGATGAACCACTGTTCTCAAGTTTCGTAGACTCTTTTAGGGCGGGGATAGGATCACAGCTCCGTAGTTCCGTAGACTTCATGCGTCAGATGAAACACAGTTATCAAGTTTCGTAGACTACCGAAGGTGTATGGTACTACAGTTATGCAGATTTACCGAGGAGTATGCTGCCACAAATCTCGAGTTCCTTAGACTTTCTGAAGAGTATGAGGCCACAGTTCTCAAGTCCTGTACATTCAGTAACATGTATAGAACCACAGCTCGCAAATCCCGAAAACTCTCATAGCTCTCAAATTCTGTAGACTTCATGAGAGCCCACAGTTCTCAAGTCTTGTAGATTCACTGATGAGTATAGGGCCACAATTCTGATGTCCCTAGACTACCTGAAGGGATATGGAATCACAGTTCTGAAGTGCTGTAGACTCCCTGAGGGTCACAGCTATCAAGTCACATAGACTCCCTGAGGGGTATAGGACCATAGCACTCAAGTCCTGTAGACTTCCTCACTCAAATCACGTAGACTTCTTCTATGATATCGGGCCATTGTCATCACGAGTGCTGTGGTTTCAGTAGCAGGTTTTTACGAAATGAAATTGCTAGCTCCAAGCTCAACCGCTTTTGAATTCAGAGATGCCTTTCTCTTAAAATAATTATCAGCCACGACTAAAGAGCAAACTCCAGCGTATTATTTAACCCATGGGGTGGGATAATACCTTCGCTCAAATATGTTTGATTTTGGATGGAATATTTTGAAAAATATTTAATGATATCCAATCTTGAACTGATATATGCTCGTGACTCGATGATTGATATATCACACTTTAATTCGACAGGAGAAAGAAAAGATTGTATTGCGACAAGGCTCCATATGAGATAAAACTTCTTAGTCTACTTTTAAACAACTATTTGAAAGTTTCAATTTTACCTCGGTTTAGGACACTAGCCCCCCCATACTGGTATGGAATCAACAACTATTCTTCCACAAAGGTAAGCTCATGATTATATATATATATATATATATATATATATATATATATATATATATAATCAACTGCTCATATATATATATATAATCATGAAGCGCAATGCGATATTTTGGATCCTGTGTTTCATATGCACAAATTTATCGTTGCATAGTAATCTTCCATGCAAACAAAACAAACTATCATTGTTGGAATTACCACATAGCCATTCTAAAACAAAAAATTACCATCTTTGTTATATAATTTATTATTTAATTCATTGTAATATACTTGTAATCTCTGATGATGGCTTATGGAAATCAAAATTTTAGACAGGATTAACAATAAAAACTTATATCAACGTAGTGATTTTCTTTCGTGTTTCAGTGATAATGCTAAAAAGCTTATTCGACAATATGAAAGGAATTTACTTGTAATAAATAGACAAAAAATGTCTATATTATTTAATGAAACATGCATTAATATATATATATATATATATATATATATATATATATATATATATATATAAGTGAAAGGAAAAAAGAGCTATAAGTGTCTGAATTTATATCATTTATAATTTGCGATATTTATGGGGAAAGAGTGGTTAGTATTGGAGACAGTTTTTGGAGATATAGCGAGTGTGTACACAAGAATGACAGTCACTATACATCATTGATTTCTATCTCTCTCTCGCGCGTGGGCTCTGTGTTTGTCTTTCTCTCTCTCTCTCTCTCTCTCTCTCTCTATATATATATATATATATATATATATATATTTATCTATTTATTTTCGTCTCGGGAGTTACCTGAAATTATCTGAAACTGAAAAATAATGCCTATGCCTGAAGATGATGAAAGAGTTTATCAAATGTATTTGCGAATATTTTACAAAGATTGCGTCATTCATCAAGTAGTTAGTAAGTTAAGGCATTATTAAATCTGTTAAAGAAGTGAAATCGCCATTATTACATTAATTACATTAACTTTACTGATTTATTCTTTGTATGACTACCTCTTTATATTATATATATATATATATATATATATATATATATATATATAGTCATCCGCAGAAAGATTGTTTTGCTGTATCACAGCTCATCAGTGTGGCTAGACATCCGATTGAATCAAGCCGGGATTTGACATCAGTCGGTGATTTTACCCCTGAGCTATCAGAGCCCGGTTGTCAGAAAGGCGAATTTTTACGTAACTATTCTTCGAATAAACACACCAATAATCAATTGGACATATGTTATATGTATGCGGATATATATATGTATATATATATATATATAATCGATTCTCCCGTCGGGTTCGACGTATGAGGGTCAAGCAGATCAGTTTCCAGGAAACTGACAGCCCGACACCGGCACAAGAGATTCGATTATAATGGTGAAGGTTTCGTGCAGGACCATCCACACTTTTTGAAGGGCCGAATACAGAGACCTGGTGCATCGAATGCCACAAGGTTCCCAAACGACCCTCTGCAGTTTTTGAATTCAGAGTTGTCCTTCTCCTAGACCAGTTGCCATCCGAGGCTATAGAACCCAGTCTGTCCTGCTATTTAACACATAGCTGGAGGGAGAAGAATAGAATTCACACCTTTCCCAAGGGTATTAGCACGTAAGTGAATGTAATGAGTTCAACCTGGATTCGAACTCGGCTCTGCGATTCCACAATCCAAGCCGATATCCCTTACCCCACGTGCCTCCTAATAAGAAAGGAAATATAATAAAGAAAAAAGAAAATATATATAATATTAATCTAATAACATATATAAGTAATAATATATATTATATATTATTTATTATTAATCAAACAAACTTTTGTCCCTTTACTTCACTTTGTTTAAATATTTTTTCACCAAGGAGCGATTCAACGTAGAGATTTATTGAATGAGGTTGTATGAACATAGGAGTCAGAGGTAAGAAGTGTAGATTATTACGATATATATGAAAGATAACGGTTGCGTCTCGACTTCAAAAAGTTGAGATTATAACGACCAGGAAACATCATCTAAGGCGTGTATTCCGCATATTAATGGTTATTGGTAAAAATATGTCCGAAAGGAACTTCCTTATTACCAACAGAACAAGAAGGGAAGGAGGACGATTCTTTACAATACATATATATATATATATATATATATATATATATATATATATATATATAGAGAGAGAGAGAGAGAGAGAGAGAGAGGTAAAAATCTGTGGGTAAGTAATCCAAGTAGATCCTAATAATATAATATATTAAAACTGATCCACAAAAGGGAGCTCAATATATTTATTATAGAGCATATAAATGAATTTCATAAAAATGATCTCAATAGCACCACATTTTGACGGCCATTCCCCCACCCCACACCCGGGATAATATCCCTGGGTTTGTTAATGCTAAAAAGTTTATGAAAAAGAAACAGTTTAACAAACGTTTTAGCATTGACAAGCTATGAAAATAGGATACAACTGAGTTTCATTTTTATGTAATTCATATATATATATATATATATATATATATATATATGTCATGTATGTTTGTATTGTGAGGCAACTCAGCTAAAAGAAAAAGCAATTTCTGTGCATGAACAGTGGATTTTGTTTGTTTTGCTGTATAAACAGTCACCGAAATTAGAATAAACAAAAACGTCTTTTAAAATTATTTATTGAAAGATTGTAAATGAAAAATCCGTCCAAACCAATTTGCAAACTCTTTTGTCACTGAAGTTAAATTGTTCATTTGCCTTTTTCTTCTTTACAAATCTTTAAGAACTTCAAGTTTGAAAATGAAGTCGTAATAACAAAAGCAGCCTGAAAATCTCGTCTGCCTTAAAAAAAAAAAAGAAAAAAAAGCGGACAGTTTGAAAGTTGGGAAGGTAGATGGAATTTTTAGAAAAAGGATGATGAGAAATTGGAGAAGAAATTTAATGTCAGAATTTGTTTAGCTTTAAAAATGAAAATTCTGACATTTCTCTTGAATGATTAAAAATTTAGGTTCAGACAAAGTTGGGGTTTCGTTATCGGTGTAATTCAAACATTAATTATCAGAGATATTTTTCCTGTCTTTATTTACTTTTTTATTCCTCCATTTTTCTTTTGTTTTTACTTAGTAATTCGTTCTTTTCTAAGTTTTCTATGGCATGTTTTCTTTCGTATTTTATTCATTTACTCATGTCATTTATTTTACTGTTATTCTTTCTTTTGTCTTTCTTTATTTTCTGTATTTTTCTCTTCTTTATGCGTCGGTCTTTCTTCGTTTAATAAATTCTATGCTTATTTTGTTATTACTATATTCTATTTCTTTCTCATTTTTTCCTTTTCTCATTTTATTTCTCTCTCCTATTGTGTACTAAATGCTTTCTTTCTTTTTTCTTTTTTCCTTTCTTTCTTTTTTCTTTCTTTCTTTTTTTCGTAAATAATTCCTATTTCTTTTTCTCCTCATTTATTTCTGTCTTTTTACTGTTCCTATATCTCTTCATTTTTCTTATCAATTTTTATTTATCTCCTTGCCGTATTCTACTCCGAATTGTTTTTCTTTCTTTCTTTATTTCTTCTTTTCTTTCAGTTTTCCTTTCTTTTTTTTCCTTCTTTGCTTCTTTTCTCTTTCTTTATTCTTTTTTCTGTCTTCTTTCTACATTCTTTTTTCATCTTTATTGTTTCTTTTCTTCATTGTTTTTCTTTTCTTTCTCATATTTCCTTTCCTTCTTTATTTTTCCTTTCTTTCATATTTTCTTTTCTTTTTCCTTCTTTCCTTCTTTCCTTTTCTTTCTTTCTTTCTTTCTTTCTTTATTCTTTCTTTTTTGTTTCGTTTTTGTTCCTTTTCCTTTCTTTCGTTCTTTCTTCTTTTCATCCTTTCTTTCTTATTCGTCCTTCCTTCATTCGTTCGTTCTTCTTTCTTTCTTTTTTATTCTTTTCTCTTTCTTCTTTCTTTATTTCTTCTATCTTTTTTTCTTCTTTGTTTCTTTCTTTGTTTCTTCCTCTCTTTCTTTCTTTCTTTTACTTCTTTCCCCTTTCTTCTTTCCTTCTTTTTTATTTCTTCTATCTTTCTTTCTTTCTTTCTTTCTCTCTTTCCTTCTTTCTTTCTTTCTTTTTTCTTCTTTCCCCTTTCTTCTTTTCTTCTTTCTTTATTTCTTCTATCTTTCTTTTTTCTCTCTTTCCTTCTTTCTTTCTTTCTTTCTCTCTTTCCTTCTTCTTTCTTTCTTTCTTTCCCCCTTTCTTCTTTCCTCCTTTCGTTATTTCTTCTATCTTTCTTTCTTTCTTTCTTTCTTTCTTTCTTTCTTTCTTTCTCTCTCTTTCCTTCTTCTTTCTTTTTCTTCTTTCTCTTTTCCCCTTTCTTCTTTCCTTCTTTCTTTCTTTATTTCTTCTATCTTTCTTTCTTTCTCTCTTTCCTTCTTTCTTTCTTTTTCTTCTTTCCCCTTTCTTCTTTCCTTCTTTCTTTATTTCTTCATTCTTTCTTTCTCTCTTTCCTTCTTCTTTCTTTTTTCCCCCTTTCTTCTTTCTTCTGTTTCGTTATTTCTTCTATCTTTCTTTCTTTCTCTCTCTCTTTCCTTCTTTCTTTCTTTCTTTCTTTTTTCTTCTTTCCACATTCTTCTTTCCTTCTTCATTGTTCTTTCTTTCATTCTCTCTTCTTTCTCTCTTCTTTCTTTCTTTCTTTCTTTTTCCATTCTTTCTTCTTTTCATCTTTTCTTAATTTCTTTTTCTTCTTTCATTCTTTCTTTTTGTTCTTTCTCCTTTCTTCCTTTCCTTTTTCTTTCTTTCTTCTACTTTCTTTCTTTCTTTCTTTCTTTCTCCTTTTCTTTCTTTCTCCTTTTCTTTCTTTTTCTTTCTTTCTTTCTTTCTTCTTCCTTTCTTTAATATCATATTCTTTCTTTCTCATTTCCTTCCTCTTCCTAATAATATGCTTTTTGCTGTCCTTAATTTTTCTTTCTCTCTAG